GTCCACTGCTGCTGCCACTGTGTCAATCCATCTCATTGGGGGTCTTCCTCTTTTTCACTGACCCTCCACTTTATCAAGCATGACGTCCTGCTCCAGGGACTGGTCCCTCCTGATAACATATCCAAAATATGAGACGAATTCTGACCATCCTGGCTTTTAAGGAATATTCTGGTGGTACTTCTTCCAAGACAGATTTGTTTGTTCTTTTGGTAGTTCATGGTGCTTTTCAATTTTCTTCTATACCACCATAACTCAAGTGCATCAATTCTTCTACCATCTTCCTTATTCACTGTTCAACTTTCACATGTATCTGAAGCCACTGAAAATACCATGGCTTGGATCAGATGCCCCTTAGTCTGCTCTTGAACACTTTAAAGAGGTCTTGTGCAGGAGATCTGCCTAATGCAATATGTAGTTTGATCTCTGGACTGCTGCTTCCATGAGTATGGATTGTGGATTCAAGAAAAATGAAGTCTTTGGCAATTTCAATCTTTTCTCCATTTATCATTATGCTATTTATTGGCCAAGTTGTGAGGATTTTTGTTTTTTTTACATTGAGATGCAACTGAAGGCTGTAGTCTTTGATCTTCATCAGTCAGTCTTTTAAGTCCTCTTTGCTTTCATTATATAAAGTCCTCTTTACTTTCAGTAAACAAGGTTGTATCATCTGCATATCTTCCAATCCTGAAGCCATGTTTTTCATATAATCCAGCTTCTCAGATTATGTGCTTGGCATAATATACAGACTGAATAAATGTGGTGAAGGAATACAAACAACCCTGGCACATACCTTTCCTGATTTTAAATCATTCAGTATCCTTCTTCTGTTCTAATAACTGCCTCTTGGCCTGTGTAAGAATCAGTGTTCTGAATTACCTGTTCTTTGCAATGTTATGCATAGCATGTCATGATCACACAGTCAAAAGCCTTTGCATAGTAAAGAAATCACAAAGAAGCACCTTTCTGGTATACTCTGCTTTCAGCGACGATTAATCTGATGTCAGCAATGACATCCCTGGTTCCACGTTCTCATCTGAATTCAGCTTGAACTTCTGGCAATTCCAAGTCAATGTACTGTTGTTGCAACCATTTTTTCATACTCTTCAGCAAAATCTTACTTGCATGTGCTATTAATGATATTGTTTGATGATTTCCACATTCCACTGGGTCACCTCTCCCAATAGGGGTGTAGGTAATAGGGAGGGGAATGGGGGACTCACTGCTTAAGGAGATATTGAGCTTCAGTCAAAGGTGATGGGAAATTTTGAAACAGGCAACAGTAATGGTTTAACAATATGGTAAGCATAACTACATAATGTCATTGAATTAATTGTATACATTGTTGTTGTTGTTAAGTGCTGTTGAGTCAATTCTGACCCATAGCGACCCTGTTCAGGGTTTCCAAGGAGCACCTGGTGAGCTTGAACCACTGACCTTGCAGTTCAGAGGGCTTTGCAGTCTGGCACATTAACTCACAGTGCCATACCAGGTCTTAGGCATGTTGAAATAGCAGACAATTTGTTATATGCATACTTGTTGTTGTTAAGTGATGTCAAGTCTGCTCCCATTAATAGCAACCCTGCACAGGGTTTCTGGGGAATGGCTGGTGGGTGTGAACCACCGACCTTGTGGTTAACAATCCAGTGTTTATCCTAGTGTCAAATAGTTTGACTGAGACAGAAGAGAGAGGCTATTGTCAAAGATTAATCAAGAGATGTACAGACTAGGCAATGGGGAGGGTGGGACTGAAATATACAATAGAATAGCTCTGAAAGAACATTCAGTCAAGAAGGTGTACCTAAGGGCTTTGGGAGGGAGTGATGTCACAGACTCCTCACCAGGGCTGACCCTTCCCAAAGGCTGCAGAGGCAGCCTCTCTCCAGGAAGGACCCTGAGGCAGAGAAGGTGGTGAGATTAGATGAGATGCTTTAAAGAGCGTCAGTCCCAAAGGTCTCTGTCTCCCAGGTGCTCCTGTTCTTCACTGAGTCTCTTGAAGGTCACTGGTGACCTTCTTCCAGGGTGTCATCCACCTCCTGCTGTTGATTACCATCTCTGCTGCACTGAGGCTTGCCCTAGACACACTGGGACCCAACCCCACCTTGTGTATCCTAGAACCAGGACAGGTTGGAGGACAGGTGTTGGAAGTGGACATTTCACTATCTAAGGATGATAACACAACTAGTTTGTAGATAAATACTGTTACCTAGTTGTTAATATACAAAGAATAGTTTACAGATTAGCTTACAGATGCTTATATTTTCTTTCTCTTGGAAAAACACTGTGATCCCTTTAAAAAATATGAGGGCTTCAAAAAGTTTGTGGAAAAATGGAAGTAAAAGATAATGGAATATTTCCAGAAACTTTTTAAACTCTCTCATATTTCCTTACCTCCTCTATAAATAGCTCTAGAAGTTCTCTTACTTATGACAATAGGCTTCTTTCACAGGCATTGCTTGTCCTAAAATTTCCCCTCACTTATCATGCTAAAGACCTGGGGGTTGCTGGGTAGACTATGCTGGCAAACACTTTCCTCAATTCCTTCCGGCATACGGAATCCTCCTCCTCTAGTTTCCTCTGAGTGAACTCCAACTTATCACCCCCTTGCATTTTTTTTTTACTGAACAGTATGTTCATCAAACTGGAACTGAGAAGAATCCTAGGAAAGGCTTACTTTCAATTCTGAGTTTGTGGACTACATCCCAAAGAATATTATTTTTTAAAAACTGGACCATGTTACTATTTGTTATGAAAAAAATTAATGATAAGAGCTGCTACAGGAAAATAGTAAACCCTAATCCAGCTCCTATTACTGGCTGAAAATACATTCTTTTCTTTCTTAAAGGTATAAGGGAAAATGTCTTGGACACACACTGATAAACAAATTTGTACCTGTTATTAATATTTCATGCGATGTGAAATATTAATAATAACACGTTATAATATGTTAGTTATTTCACAATGTTAGGAAGACACCCAAAATGACAGGCCTTCATTTAATATTCTAGTATGCTACTGAGAAGAGTGGTATTTTCACAGGTACTATGTAATTCACCTTAGGGTGAATTCACCTTAGGGTGACTTCCAAAATGAAACTCTTTTGTCTAGATAGTTAACCTGCAACAACTGGGAAATAATTCTAACCTATTTATTTTGTTTGACCAAAATACTTTACTGTCAGCTACCAGAATTTTAAAATAATATCTAGAAACCTGACGCATCATTCCTACACAACGCACTGCACAACTGTGCCAAAGCAACCCTGAGTAGATTGTGTCAAGCAGTCAAAGCATGCCCCAAGCAGCAGTGTGGTGGGTGACAGGCCACAATGATCAATACTAGCGCTCTGCTGGTAACCAGTAAGAGACTATGAGTCCCAATGGATCCAGATATAGGCAGTCTCCATGGTATAAATGAGAACCTGTGTCTTTAAGAATTTTTAGGTAAGTTAGAACAGGTGCATATGGTTCTACTTTGCATTACTTTAAGGCAAGAAAGGGGCCCTGGTGGCATAGTGGGTTAAGTGGGTAGTTCTAACTACAAGGTCAGTGGTTCAAACCCACAAGCTGCTCTGCAGGAGAAAGCTGAGGTTCTCTGCTCCTATAAAGATTTACCATCTCGCAAACCCTAAGGAGGAGTTCTAATCTGTTTTATAGGGTCGCTATGAGTTGAGTCTGACTCTTAGTCATCCTATAGGACAGATGGCAGTGGGGTGAGGTTACTGCAAGAAAAGGCTTGAGAATTGAGAAGCCTTTTCAATGATTTGAAAGCTGCAGGTGCAGCAAGTGAAATTGACGGTTGTAATGAATGGAATTTATTGTGAGTTGGGTTTGAGTCAATCATTTCAATGTGAGGGCAAATTTATATAACATGAAAGGGCAATCGGGAGGTGTCAGTCAGAAGACTAGTTACTGACTGTTCTGGAGGTTGGTTCCTTATGTCCCTACTGTCACAGGCTGGCAGGTCCCAAGGACACTCCGCTCTCTTGCATAAGCAACAACTCTAAAAGGACAGCAGCTTTATGACCTAGAGCCATCCCCTCCAGGGGTTGAGTGGCAAGTCCCGTGCTGTACTAAAACAAGGGATGGTGGTAGTTATGTGCTGTGTTGGTTCCAATTCATAACGACCCTGTACAGGATTTCCAAGGCTGTACATCTTTATGGGAGCAGAAAGCCTCATCTTTCTTCTGCGGAACAGCTGGTAGTTTCTAACTGAAGACCTTGCAGTTTGCAGCCCAATTCATAACTACTACGCTACCAGAGCTCCTTAAAACAAGGGAAGGGGGAAGGAAATGGTCCTTCCAGATAGGGAGGGGTGAGCTGTGGTCTCCAGGCAGCTCCTCATAAGACAACCGAGACGGTTGATTGAGTAGGCTCTGCTCAGTTTCAGGAAAAGTCAGTCCGGTATTCAACCAAGACTTAGATCATGTTTTGGCTGACACGTAACCAAGGAGATATACGCATATCATCAGGAGACAGTTGGTCCCCTACGTGCTAATTACATATGGCTGGTTTAAGCATTCTCGGTGGAACTTCTGGGTGGTGCAAAGGCTTAACACCCTCTCTTGCTAGCTGAAAGGCTGGAGGTTCAAGTCTACCCTGGGACACCTCAGAAGAAAGGCTTGGTCATCTACTGTCTGAGAAAGCAGCCACGGAAAACCCTATGGAGCGCAGTTCTAGTCTGACTCACTCGGGATTGCCATGATTTCATGCAACTGGCAAAAGGCATTCTTGGCAATCCAAGGTACAAAAATACTAGCAGGGAGGACTGAAGAGAATAAATTTATTGGCATAGTAACTTTAAGGGTCAGGAGTTGATTTGGGGAGGGATTGGTACAATTGATTACAGATTGTAGATGAAACTGGTTTCAGGCATTCTATATCGTTCTTGGTAAGGACCAAGGAAAGGTGGCCTTAGCTAAGAAGGAGATGGAAGTCACACACCAAGCAAGCAGCCTAACCAACCGTCTCCTTGCCCTTTAAAGGTTCAACTTTGACCCAGTGATGCTGTCCAAAAAAATGAGGCTGGCGCTTTTCCTGGTTTCCCAGACGGCGATATTCGCTCTGTTCTTCCACTTGTACAGCTACAATCTCAATTCTCTGCCTTCAAAGGAGACACCCAAGCCTGTGCACGTGTTGATACTGTCTTCATGGCGCTCAGGTTCCTCCTTTGTGGGGCAGGTTTTCGGGCAGCATCCAGATGTCTTCTACCTGATGGAGCCTGCCTGGCACGTGTGGACAAGCTTTACTCAGAGCACTGCCTTGAAGCTGCACATGGCAGTGCGGGACCTGGTGCGCTCTGTCTTTCATTGTGATATGAGTGTCTTTGATGCCTACATGAAACCTGGTCCCCGGAGACAGTCCAGCCTCTTCCAATGGGAGACAAGCCGGGCCCTGTGTTCCCCACCTGCCTGCAACATCCTCCCAAAGGGTAGGATAGTGTCCCCAGAGCACTGCAAGGTTCTGTGCTATCGACAGCCCTTCGAGATGGTCGAGAAGGCCTGCCGCTCCTACAGCCATGTAGTGCTAAAGGAAGTGCGATTCTTCAACTTGGAGCCTCTCTACCCTCTGCTCAGAGACCCATCCCTCAACCTGTACATTGTGCACCTGGTGCGGGATCCCCGGGCTGTATTCTCTTCCCGAGAGCATACCACAGTGGAACTCATGACTGACAGCCGCATAGTGTTAGGCGAGAAGTTGCAACAACTCAAGAAAGAGGACTGGCCCTATCATGTGATGCAGACTATCTGCAAAAGCCAGTGGGACATCTTTGAGGCTGTCCAGCTCTTGCCCAAAGAACTGCAGCAGCGCTACCTGCTGGTTCGCTATGAGGACCTGGTCCGGGCCCCCGAGGCCCAGACAGCCCGAATGTATGACTTTGCAGGCTTGAAATTCTTGCCCTGGCTTCAGACCTGGGTAAAAAACATCACTCAGGGTAAGGGTATGGGTACACACGCTTTCCAAACAGGTGCTAGGAATGCCCTCAATGTCTCCCAGGCCTGGCGTTGGACCTTGCCTTTCGAAAAGGTCACTCGACTTCAGAAAATCTGTTATGATACCATGACGTTGCTGGGCTACCGTCACGTCATGTCTGAGCAAGAGCAGAGAAACCTGTCACTGGATATTCTCTCTACCAGGAGTCTCTTTGAGCAAGACGACCAAGAGGGTTGAAGCTCGGCCTGGACAGTCTCAGCCCCATGAACTGAATGCTTCTGAGCCGTAGCTTTTCTCTGCAGGTGTCCCTGTGAGCATGAGTTGTACCACACAGGCTCAAGCACGGAAATCTTTGTGTTTGTACTCAAGTCAAGAACACAGACTTGGAAACCAGTGAGGCAGTGGTGTGGCCTTGCTCCTGTCTTAGCCTTCCTACTGGTATGCACCTCAAAGACTCCAAGCAGTACCAGTGGAATTAATCCATAAGCCTCTGCCCACATCTTAGGAAAGGGGCAAGACAGTAAGGACCAGGAGAATGGCCCTCCCACCAGAGAGCTCACCCCTGGACTCCACATGACAGTGAACCCTGAGTCCTCGAAGCTCCCAGTGGACTCAAGGAGGATGGAATGCTAACGTGCAAGCATGACCATCACAGCTTGAGGTTCACAAACAAGGAATAGAACCTCTGCAAAATGGGGCAAGCTCTTGAGTTCATGGGGTGGCCGGACTCAGTTTGGAGGTTATTTCTTTCCCCTCAGTGTTGTTGTTTTGTTTTTTGTTTTGTTTTTTGCCACAGATAGAACACTTTGACCTGTGAAGCTATTATGCATTAGTACTAAAATTTTCAATTCAGATTTTGTCTGGAACGGCCAATTGCTAGTAGTGAATACTCATTAATACAAGGTCCTAACCTAAGGACAAAATCATCTTTATAGATCTTTTTGGACACTTTGCTATTATCTACTACCCACATAGACAAAAAAAATTGCTAAGACAATGTTGGTGTCAGATGATGAACTAAATCTGATTGATACATTGCCTTCTTAAAAACTGGGAAAAATAAACAAGACAGTGAGCAACAAAGCTCTTGGGTGAGACATACATTGCAATAGTGTTCTATGTTTTTATGTATCATCCTGGGGACTGGGAAGAGTCCTGAGGTGATAGTAACTTAGGCCTTGGCTTTCTAATGTAAGACTGGCAGTTCAAACACACCAATAGATCTAACCAGCAGGTGAAAGATGAGGCGGTCAGCTTCCATAAAGATTTACAGTGTTGGAACCTTTAAGAAGTAGTTAAGCTCCGCCCTTATTATGTTCTGTGCCGTGGAGTCGGTTCCGATTCATAGCGACCCTGTACAGGGTTTCCGAGGCTGTAAATCTTTACGGGAGCAGAAAGCCTCATCTTTCTCCCGCAGAACAGCTGGTAGTTTCGAACTGCTAACCTTGTTGTTCGCAGCCTGATTCATAACCACTATGCTACCAGAGCTCCACCCTACAGGACCACTATGTGTTGGAATGGACTCCATGACAGTGAGTTTGGGTTTTCCCAGGGTTGGGGAGAATTCTTTTATTTTAATTGACGCAAGGATCTCAGCTTCATATGATGCTATTTCTTGTTGTTAGGTGCTGTTGAGTCGGTTCTGACTTAGAGCGATCCTATGCACTACAGAACAAAACACTACAACCATCCTCACAACTGTATTTAGCTCTTCCTAATCACCCTCTCTTAGCAAGAAAAGAGCTTTCTCCCAGTCTTTGCAGCGGGCCCTAGATCTGGTTGTGAATCAGAATCACTTAGTTAAAAAATACATATCGCCAAGCCCTTTCCCAGGTTTGCAGGAATAAAAATCTCCCAGGGTGGGGCCCAGGATTCTGTGTCTTTATCAAGCCACCTTGTTGATTCTTCCACAGCCAGCCTGAGGCACTGGGGCCTGCTACACTTGGGCAGTAATGCTCTTCTTCAGCTTCTTCCTCTAAGACAAAAGGCAACTTTTCAAATCAAACCGAATATGTAAGCCAGTGGTAGTGTCCCCAGGTTGGAAGGAATAGAAGGAAGGCCTAGAACTTGACCTCCAGAACCCCCTGGGCCTCCGGAACTCCATGGACACCTCTGGAACCCTATGGACCTCCAGAACCCCATGGACACCTTGGGAACCCCATGGGCTTTCAGAACTCCATGGACACCTCTGAAGCCCACAACAGTGTTGAATAAAACTCTAGTGAGCACTGTAACAATCTATTGATGCACTCAGGTAGCTGGAACTGGATTCATTGATGAGCATGGTAAGGCTGAATGTATAGGATGACATCTTTTCTAATTTTGAGACATCTGTTCCATCCCTGAGCCCAAACAATACAAAGGCATTTCTTTGCCTCCTCATTCTCTTAGTTGCATGGTGTTTAAGGATGTTGGATGGTGGCTATCTAAATTCCTCAGGGCTCCTATTCAGGTCTGGAGCAGGATCTCTACAGTAAGTACAATGAATAGACTATTAACACAATAGCCTGCAATGGCTAACTGCGACATAACACGTGGTCTCCATGTCTTTCCTGTCACCTGAGACATTGAATATAGGAGTCTAATAATCAAACTGGACAACTCTCGCATGTTCTACACTTTGGGGGTGCCCCAAATTTCACAATCAATTTTGGAAAGAGAGAATGGGATCATTTTCAAAATAAAGAAGCTTTCATTGTAATTTAATTAAGTTGTGTTACCACATGGTTTCATTTTCTACATAACAAAAACAATTACTAAGTTTTTAATAAATTTCAATTAAAAACTATATTCTTTTCTAACTTGTGAATAGTGGTTCTGGAGAGAGATGGAAAGGCAGAATCAACTTCTGAAAATTTTGTGTTAAAATCTGCCAATGCATTTCATGATCTGTGCTATGTTTCTTTGAAAAAAGTCTATAATTTACTGTGTGATTTAAACCAGAGTAAATATAAAATAATCTCACTATGTCTATGCATGTATGTATTATCTATCTACCTATATTATTACTGTTGTTAGTGCCATTGAGTAGGTTCCAACTTATAGCAACCCTGCATAGGGTTTCCAAGGAGTGGTTGATGGGTTTGAACCGATGGCACTGCTATTAGCAATCTAGTGCTTAGCCTATGGCGCTACACCAGGACTCAACATATGCAAGTGTGGTGGCTCTGTAGGATAAGCACTAGACTGTGAACCACAGATCAGCAGTTTGAGACGACTAGTTGTTTCAAGAGAGAAAGGTAAAGCTTTCTGCTCCCTCAAAGATTTGTTGTTGTTGTTAAGTGCCGTCGAGTCGATTCTGACCCATAGTGACCCTGTATAGGGTTTCCAAGGAGCAGCTGGTGAGCTTGAACCACCGGCCTCGCAGTTCAAACAACTTTGCAGTCTGATGTGTTAGCCCACAGTGCCACCCCAGGACTCCCCACAAAGATTTACAGCCTGGGAAACCCCTATAAAGGGTTGTTATGACTCTGAACCAACTGGCTAGCACTTAACAACAACATGCATACGTGTAATATATGTTATATATATGCATATTATCTTGACTATTGAATTACTTTTTCAGAACTGGCAAAACAAGATTCCAACATGAATATAAGTGATGGGATAGGCAAGTTAACAAACTTCTGATAGGCGCCAGCTGAGGGTCCCCAGTCCCCTGAGCACTTTGATCAAGAGCTATGCGTCTCATGTATAAGCCTCCCCAGTCATTTAGGGGAAACTTATTTTTTAATATAGTACTGAGGAGAAAGTTGTAATCAAAATATTAAGATATGACTAACGATGGCACTTAACAACAGCAACACATTTAATGGTGAACAAATATAAGGTGCAAATGGTTACCATGCCTTGCTGCTAACCAAACAGTCACGTATACACAGGCAATTCAGAAGAAAAGTCTGGTAATCTACATCCGAAAACTCAGTCATTGAAAACTTCGTGGAGCAGAGTTTTACTCTGACACACATGGGGTCACTACGGGTCGGAACTGATTCCACAGCAACTGCTTTTTGTTTTTTAGCAAGTGCCTGGCATGAAAGAAGTAAATGTTAGCTGTGGTTATCGTGGGAAAGGTGCTAATCTTGGCTCTCAAGGACTGTGGCCAGCCGTTTCTGGTAACTTCCTTATTACAGTGATTGCTAAGCAGCAGCTCTTGACCACTGTAGGGCAAATACTGATCATACTAATATGATTAGGAAATTGATACATTCTGATTTAGATTCTTTTTGTGAGTGGTTCTCCACCAAAAGCAATTTTGATACCCAGGGAACATTTAAAATGTCAAACCTACTGAATCACATGTAACAACAACAAAGACACATTTTTGGTTGCCACAACTCAGGGATGGGGTGCTATCGGCATCTAATGGGTAGAAGTCAGGGACACTAAACATACTACAATAATGCACAGACAGACAGAAGAAGCTCCCACAATGAAGAATTGTTACATGCCATCAAGTTGGCTCCAACACATAGTGACCCGGTATAGGGTTTTGAAGGCTCTAAATCGTTAATTAAGGAGTGCTGGTAGTGTAGTGTTTCTGAGTCAAACTGCTAACCTCAAGGTCAGCAGTACGAAACTACCAGCTAGCTGTTCCATGGGAGAAAGATGAGGCTTTCTGCTCCCGTAAAGATTTACAGCCTCAGAAACCCTATACAGGGTCACTATGAATTGGAAACGACTTCTGTTAACCTGGATTGAGACCTGGTTAATCCACAGTATGACGAGACCTGGGGACTCCTGGGCCCAGGGACAGGGATATGGCCCCAGAAGACTAGAACGGAGTGCGAAGCATCCAGCTGATATGAAGTGCGGGGAGATGCACAAGAACATCCACGCTTGCAGAGAGTACCTATCTGACCTGGCATCAATGGCTGGATGATCAGAATACGACTAGAGGAAGAAAGAAAAGGAACAAAAACAACAAAAAGAGAGTAACCCAGTACAACTGGATGAACTTGACCTATGCTTGTGGATGCAGTATGACAAAGGAGTGGACAAATCTTTACAGTGAGGATCATTCCCACCCCCTTGGTACACAGGGTTGACAGGGAGGAGGAACTTAGACACTGGCTACCCAAAATGGGGGGACTACAAAGGCAAGAAGTGACTGGCTTGCAATAGGGAACCTAGATCCACAGGATTTATAACCTGTCTGGATGGGGCTGATAAAAGGTGAGGGGGAAAGGACTCCTGTGGTTCAATAGGGAATGATTGCTATCAGGTCTGACAGTGAG